CAATTTGTCGATAGGTTAGAAAGAAAAGGAAGAAAATAAGAAACATTTGTTATCGTTTTTTTTTTTCTCTCTAACTTCTAGATCATTATATGACCTCTTTTTGCTTGCTGCTTGAACTCTCGGAACATTTTATGATGTAATCTCTTTCTATTCTCCTATAGACTCATATTTATCGAGAAACAATTCCATTTATAACTTACTTTAGTCTTTTGAATCACAATGATATCACAATGATAATATATTCAAATTTTCCTCAATAGATCCATTTTACAAATTTTCCATACATAAATTTCAAAAAGATCAAGAATAAAGATTTGAACTGGTTAATACGAAATCATTTTATTTCATTTTTTTTTCTCTTTTCAACTTAAAAGAATCTATTTTAAACATAATCTACTACTGTGGTGTATAGTATTGTTGTCAATAAATATAAGTAGTATGTATCATCAATTGATAGTGAGATACCTGGCAGCAGAAAGTTAAGAAGATCAAAGGAAAGAGAATGAGAATAAAGAATGATTGATATGGAACTGAAGGAACGATGAAGTTTGAGACGATTGACTGATATTTTACATTTATGTTCTCGTTCATTACACTACTAATTAATTTCAACTTGAAAATATTATCAATCTTCATTCATTTCATACAGTCACTAATCGTAGACACTTATAGAACAAAGAACCTTAAGGTGTATTACGTTCATATATAGTTAAATAGTTATAAATTATTCACATATTAGTACATCAGTTAATCACTATGTAGTAGTCAACAACATAATTGCCTAGTCCCTAGTGTTGATGGAATTATACCAATGAAATTGAAGTATGACCACTGAGTGATTCGGTTATGAATCCTACAGGTAACTCCTTAAATATTGAAAGTACGCCTTGCTGATGTTCGCCGAAGCTTATCTTTATGGTTCTCTGTCAACTGTCTTCACACAGTCTAAAATATACATAAATACACTAGAAACTCCTCAATCTTGAGTTACAGTAATGATTGGATATTGAAAAGTACTGACCAGACTGAACTAATTTAAAGTATCTTTTAATGCATTTACAGTTAAATGAAATGTTTTCCTATGATAATTTTCCAAACGGATTGTTTCGTTTTTCCTTGATTTTGAGGACTTATAAATTAATTTTATGAACGTGACGAAATTCCTTGATACTCTATATAACGCTTGATATATTAAACAAGTAGAATAACTTAGAAACTGGCGGCATAACATATAATTGAATAAACACTATTATACAATGCCTAAACATGCCCAACAGTTGGGTTTTAATCGATCAGAAAATGGGTGACCTACAACCGATTTCCTCAAATCATTTAGGACATTTTATCATGTTTACTTTGAGTTTATATTTTGTACACAAACACACCCCCAAAAATCCTTATTCATCTGGCTAGTGGTCTTATTTTTATTATTTAAAATCATACGTAGACTTAAGTTAATGATACAGTCTCGTGAGAAGCTATCGCTTGGCCATATCAGTGTATTCATCTATCGATAAATATTCTATTCATTGATTTTAACAATTAAAAAATTCGCATCATCAATTCATCTAGAACATCTTCCATAACTTATTCACATGATCCGAATATAAATCAAAGACAGTATTTCGTCAATAACTAAATCTGAAATAATGGAACATTCAATATTTTAGACAAGACGTAAGATATGTATTTCGCTGATTTATCTATGAATGTCTTAGATTCGATCTCGCGAACAATCGTAAGCATAAACTATCGGTTAATTTCAAACTTTCATTAGGTTTTAATATTTTATCAAATCTTTAATGTTGCGATGAAAAACATTTTTAAACTGAACAAACTTTACACAAACCATTTAACTAAGTAATTTTCTCTCGTTTAAATATTTAGAGGTATCAAATAAGTCCTGAAGTTCATGTTAAAAAAAGGATTTGCAATGAATATGCGTAGTGGCTCTCGCCCCGACCGTTGTTGCTACCTTGACGTGGTGGTCGGGCTTGCGTATCTTGATGAACCAATCGAGATATACTGGCTGGAACAATCGTTTCTCAAAGTCCTACCATGCCAGACAGGTCGTTTGAAGAACGGTAAGACTAAAAACAGCACACTGAAGGTCCAAGGGTGAAGTCGTACTGCTGACTGTACAGAGGTGTGACAGCAGTAAGGTGTTTCCTTCAGACAACCAGCATAACAGCGATGCTGCCTTTCCGCAAGGAGGAGTAGGGTTAGAAAAGGTCGACCCTAAAAACGCACATTTCCCCTTATCCCACGGATTTCCGTTTACGGCAGTAAGGTCTCAACAAGTACGGAGCTAACACGAAAATTACTCACAAAATGGTCGCGTGTGATCGACCACAAGCAGTTGTCCCTTTAGGCACTGTGGTCACACTCTCAAGTCACTAATACCACCGCTAATCCAATTTCCTTTTCAGGTACCTCCAAAAGAACTCTTCCACGGCAAAGACAACCGGGAAGTTATAACCGCCCTCATATTTCTAACAGAACCCAAGGCCACTGAGTGACTCTTGTTTGCCACACACAGATTGAATTAAAGTTGTAGAATATTAGGTAATAATAATAATAAACATGCTACTAAATTCTTTATTCAAAACAAAACATTGGATTATTGTTAGAGTCAAATAAAATGAAACCACTTTCAAATTCCATCGCTCAACACTCGAGTTCATATCATGCTTCAAAGATCAGTTTTAATGCTTAATTTTAACAATATTTAATAATATCTGTAATCTGATTAGTTGCCCAGGCATTTACAGATGAAAAGATCACTTCCCTTATGTATTTCGGGTTAATTTCAAAGCCCTAAGTAATCCCTGTTAGAAGTTTTCAGGATTTGTGAATTGTCGATGATACTTTTATTATTCTGCGTTCTTTTGAAAACATCTAGAACAATTCTAGAAGACAAAGTACTGTGTTTTTATTATCTGGACTGGATATCTATCAACCCATTATTGATTTTAGCGTGTTTTGTAAAAACTTCTAGTGCTTAGAACCTCAATGTTTAAACGTTCAATTACAAGACGTATCAGCTACATGAATGGGTGTCTTGCCTATCTTAATAAGTTGGTTCGAATTTTAATGAAAGCATTAATCTGAATTAAGATATCCCATCATACAACAAAATTTATCCACTATCCAAATATAAACGTCGGTTTATTCACGTTTTTCTATTAACTGTCTTGTCAAAATTTATCAAGTATATATATATATATAGGGGAGGGAGAGAGAAATACGCAAATGTAATCTTTGGGAACAATATCATTTTTATATCAAAATGAAAAATAAAACTAATTATCCTTGACACTTAATTCACAGCTATAACAAAATTGATTCATCAACATTATTTTTAATCCAATGAAGTCAAATACATTATTACATTATAAAAAAAGCCTTTTAAAAAAGTAATAATTCATGTATTTTATTGTATGCATTAAGTTAAATAACCATTAATCTTTTCATTATTATGGGGTTGTGGAGATTATTATGTTTTTGATTGAGATCATGAACCGATTAATGTTAGACCATCATTGAAAACCTGGAAACACTGAACTGCCTTTTCGTTTTATTATAGGACTCTTCAGCATTAATTATCCATGATCACGCTCTCAGGATTCGAACCCAAGGCCTTAGGTTTCGCGCGCGAACGCTTAATTTCTAGACCACTGAGCTGTATGGTACTAATGGTTTTAATATCTAATCTCAACCAATTTCTTATGACCATTTGATAAACTGTAAAATAAATTGCATTTTGTTGTTGTTGTATTTTTGTCATCATTTCAACTAATGATTAAAGGTAGTTTTTAACACGAATCTGGAGTAATGTTGAAAAGCACGAAATAGGCGATAGTTACTTCATGCTACACGATATGAAGGCCTTGATTTAATTCATCCTTTTGAGTTCTAACTAAGATGAAATAGTTGTCTAGTGTCCTATGGTTTTTACTGGTGACTGATATAACCTACAAAATAAACCAATCTTCAGTAAACTATTTCATGTAGTCGTAACCAAGAGAATATTGGATATTTATTTCGTCTTAGTTTAATTTTTGTTCATTAGCACTTATCGACAAACATGGATGGATGGATATCCAAATGATTCATAGGATGTCTGTTTTTAACTAGTCCAAAATGACCAACGGCTACAAATTTTTCATTCCTAAATAACTTTCAATAATTATAAAAACGTTTAGTAATGACGATTAATTAAATCATTTCTTACATTATCGACAAGTACTCGTACATACATGTATAAATAATCTGTGTTACTATATATATATATATATATATATATATATATATATATATATGACTAACCAAATGTCATGTTCCTAAAGTTTAGTAGAATTCTTTTAGTCACGTTTATAGTGTCAATAGTGAAGTAGTAAACTGGAATTAAAACAAGTTAATTTTACAGTCCAATAATCGAATATAATTATCCATAATATCTGAGTAGTTATTTCTATGCATGTTATTATTATTCTATATTTAGTCCTACAAACATTAAATCAAGTAAACATAACTAATTATTCAATCTCATAATTAATATTTCAAACAATATATGTTATTTATATTCTACTGATATTTTGTCCACTTGAAACTTCTGACTGATGTTAAGGACTACAATTGATCAGTCTCATATTGATATATGTGCATACTGTGCACACTGCTTCGATAATACCTTTATTCACAAGCACTATAATCAAGTGACTATCAGGACTCAGTAACGATGGCTTTTGAAGCGAATGGTTCTGGGTTCGAGTCTCAGAGTGAACATCAACTCTGAGACGCAGGTACATCCAGCTGATGAACCCCGAATAGGATAAAATATACGTCCTGGACTCCACTACTAGCCATTTATTCATCTTTGCTAATATGTAGTTTATTTCTATTAATATTTTTGGCTTACAAATATAAATTGTTTAGATTTATTTGATCGATTAGATAATTACAATTTCATGTGTAAAATGTAGTACAATATAACTCACCTAACCACCAATCTTCAGAGATTTCATAGATAGCGGCTACTGGCATTGGAAGTGTTGCAACCATTAAATCAGCAACAGCTAAACTGGCAATCAAATAATTGGAAACCCCCTGAATAAAATTTAAAAAATAAAACAGTTTAATAAATACTACTAGGATTTAATTTGATTAGGAATAAAACATGCTTAATCTATCTATATTTGATTATATTCATTGATATCCGTATACATGTTTGTGCATGGGATTATCTATCTATCTATCTATCTATCTATCTATCTATCTATCTATATATATATATATATATATATATATATATATATATATATATATATATATATATATATATATATATATATATATGCAATAAACGAGAACTCAGGTGGAGACAACCAGTTAATCATTTGATACAAAATTACAGAATATCTCCATAAAATATAAGAACCATACATTGAATACTTCATTTAAAAATCTTCCATCAATTGTTTTTCACATTCTGTTTCATCCTTCCACTTTTATACTACTTTCTATTTCTTTTTCTGTTTTCCTCAACTCGATTTTCCTAGCCTTCTGCTGCCAGTCACCCTTCTTCTGATCGGTATTATAAACTACTTATGTTAAAAGATATAAGTAGTATACACAATATATATACATATTTTACAAAGTGATAATAATTAAGATAATAGCGATAATAAAATTCTGTAATAGCATCAAAATGTTATTTTGTATCAGGGAAATTAATAACAGTTTTATTGTTTAGGTATTGAATATTCATCATAAAGATAGATAGGGAAATAATAATTGGAAAAGGAAGGCTTATCATGATAAGACAAATTGTTTAAACTAATATGAACTGTTATCAGAAGATTATGGAAACGGAAACAAGTCATTTGGGGTGAAGGGTCTATAGAAACGATAGAACGAAAACAGATGGCTGTGAAGGGAGATAAGTGTGGAGAATAAAGACAATTTTGACAGATTAGGACTATAGTAGAAAAACAAGTACCAGTTTCGTATGGACACAATTCTGATTCACCCAGGTGTATAGCTAGTGCTTTGGCGATGATGAGAATATCCGATATCACAACAGTTTTTATTCAAACTTTTGTGGATGAAAATACACATAAACAATGAATTACACTCTTAATTGTAATTTGCAGAATTTTATGTGAAATACATATTTTAATAGTTAAATTCATGACCGATTGAGTTCAATCCGTTTTTATGGGTAGATACAGGTATCTACCTTAGACAATGGATGAATGGTTGCGTAACCATTCATCAATCGATGCAAGTTCGATATTAGCACTGTTGGATGCAAGTCTAAAGGTTAAGCGTTCGCGCGCGAATCCAAAGGTCCTGGGTTCGAATCCCGTTGCAGGATCGCGGATGCACACTGATAAAGTGTCCCATACTAGAAGTAAAAAGCCTTCTACTGCTTTCAGGTTTTCAATTGTGGTCTAGCTTGAATCGACTCACAAAATCAACTATTGAAACTACTACAATCTCCACAAATACCATTCTGATACAAAAATACATATTTGTTATTGCAAATTTAAATCGTTGTACATCTTACAAATTGCCCTATTTGTTCATTTCGACCAGTTTAATGGCGGGACGATAATTTGTGAACTAACCAATCAAATATGTGATAACGAGTTTTGGATTTTGGAGTAAAATTCACCCATTCATTTGGCTAAATAGAGTTTTGACATTATTAGCTAGTGTCAGTTCGTGATGAAAACCCGAAATCTAATTCCTTATCTTAACCATCATAATTTTAATTCCTCACACCGGTTTATAACTCTCATTTAGTTTTAGTTATTAGATGAACATTCTCAAGGTCATACGCTTTCGCTATTATCAGAAGGGGTTTTGTGGATATAGTAATTTTCTATGGTTGACTTCAAGAGTTAATTTAGTTAAACCACCATGGAAAACGTTGAAGCACTGGACGGCTATTTCGTCCTACTTTGCGACTTCTCAGTAGTGCTCATTGACGATCCCGCCCAGCGAGATTCAAACCCAGGACCTATCAGTCTCGTGTGCGAGCGCTATTGATCAGTGATTATTCTCATCTCATTTCAACTTATATTAAGTTTTCCATAAGACTATATGTATAGTTAATATTAGCCTACTCTTATGAACTAAAATACAATTAGCTGATTAAGATAAACTGAGCAAATTTTTTGTTACCATCTATTCAGTGACTTTGTCTCTTTTGTCCCGTAAACATTTATTCATATAACAAACATTCTTTGATTTTATAAATGAAACTCAATAATCATTTCAACCTGGTATTTCTCAGTGTGAATTAACATAGTGCGTAATAAAAAACAATCCGCCTGGAGCTACTGTCAGTTCAAAAGCCGGATAAATGAGGAGAGTTCGACATGGGGTTAGCGACTTTATTCCGTATAAAACTAACTCACTAAAAAGAAACTCTAACCAGAAAATAATAATTTAAACCATTTAAACTTGGCTCTGGAAGATAGAAGGTCTTCATTTAGAAGAGTTATGACGTGATGAAAAACACAAGCCAACCATTGAAATTACTATAATTTTCACGAAACTCCCCCTTCTGATATTAATCAACATATGCTCACTAGTGACTGGCTTCAAGAGGTATATCCTGGAGTTCTAGTGAGAAGCAGTGACCAGTGGAGTTCAACCAGATCCGTTGTGAGATAGTAGGTTACTGATGACAATGGTGGATGTGTCACTCAGTTTTGTGCATTAATTGAAGTTAGACATTAACACCATCAGACGTCACGCGTCTCAGTGGTCTAGTGGTTAAGCGCCTGTGTGCGAGATTAATAGTTCCTAGGTTCGAATCTCGCGAGAGGTTAGATCGTGGATGCGCACTGTTGAGGAGTCCAACAATAGGATGAAACGGCCGTCCAGTGCTTCAAGGTTTTCCATGGTGGTCTAGCATCAACTGACTCATCATCTCAACCATTGAAACAGTATTTATGTTAAAATAAAATAAGAAAATATTAAATCTTCGTTAGCATTTGCTACTTCTTCAAGTTGAACTGTTTATATTTGTAGATAAGGCATAAAACCATTACAAAATCACAATTAAAGTAATTTTTGACCATGAATAAATTATTCAACTACTGTTAACTGTAAATGTAAAAATAGTCTCCATTATTTTCTTTTAAAATTTATTAATTGTAATATGAATACGAAATGGTGTATGATTAAATGTTTGACCAGACCTTCCGGTATTTTGATTGACTTTTTTTATGGGTGGTGGGTAGGTTGGTGGGTGGGTGATTGGTTGGTTGGTTATGTAGTCAAAATAACTCTTTTCTATTTAAAAATAGAAAGAAATTTTATAGAGCGATAGAGAATTTTACAAATATTGTTTTCATATATGCATAACATAGTGACGTTCATTGGAATCAGTGACAAAATACATGTAATGGATAATCAATGATGCAAAGTTTAGTCTGATGTTTAGTGCTCAGATAATTTTCTCATGGAAAAAAGTACTAGGCAACTAAAATAGAATAGAAATACTTTATTTATCTATTTATTTATTATTCTACACACCAAATGTAAATAACAATTGGGAATTATTAATTTTCTGTATAGGGTTGTGGAGATTGTTAAGTTTTTGATTGAGATCATGAACCGATTGATGTTAGACTACCGTTGAAGACGTGGATGCACTGGAACCTAAGTTTAAATCCCGCGAGCGAGATCATGGATGCGCACTGCTGAGGGACCCTACAATTGGACGAAACGGTCATCCAGTGCTTTCAGGTTTACAGCTGCGGTCTAACATCAATCGGTTAATGATCTCAATCAAAAAATTGTTGATTTCACTGTTAAAATCATTCAATTTAAAGATTTGTGTTTGCTTATACAACTTATGAACTTAATTCATAGAAGAATCAATACTCATTACAGTTATAATCAAAGGAATCAGAGTTCTCTAAATGAATAAATTTTTTTAGTTTTATTCTATCAACTAAAACCTTCAATTATGAGCTTAGTTCCTCAATCTACTTTTTTACTCTACTATTAATAGTGAGCAAGTTCTGGCTGTAATCACTGGTAGGTACATATACATAAACTTTTAAGTTATTCAAAACAGAAGATTTTGGTCTTGTGGAAACATCAAGTTTTCAAAATCGTTGGTTGATATTCATTATTCCATATATCTAAATTCAGTCAATTACTAATCTATAGCATAATTATCATCCAGTGTCATCGGAGAGTCAATGTCTTACTCCTGATATTATGGTCACTAATGATTATGGTGTCTCGTTAGATTGTTCTGTTAAAAATAAATCTCTGGCTTATAAAATGATGCTTATTAGGTTCAAATCTCAGTTTGAATACCAACATGAATTAAGTTACATTGAGTTGATGAGTCTCATATGAGAATAAACGCTTGTTATTGATATCATTTTTAAGAAACAGGGAAATATGTAGATATTATTCTAAGGCGAAACTTCTTGGTTAATGATTTTCAGCCTAAAGGCATAACAATCTCTTTAAATCAATACTGAAAAAACAGATAAACTATTATGTAGGAATTGATTCACAGTTATGTATTTTCCCTTCCTTTTACCAATAAATTTTACTTGGGATCCTACAGTATAGATACATTTCATTCTATCAGTTAAGAATAACATAATACTTGACATTGAACTTAATCAATGCCTATTCCGTTAATATTTTATTTCTTACAAAAAATTCAATAGTAAATGGATCTTCAAAAAGGTGAATTTGAGCAGCATTCTTCAAGAATTTCATTTTACTGACTACAATAAATGCTTAAGCTTCGAATGTAACCTAGTCATATCTAAGAAATGTGTCAAAACTGGTTAGAATTATCTACCAAACATATGTTTATAAAACAGTATTATTTCCTTAAAACAAAACCTACGGTAATACATATAACAGTTTGTTATAGCAAGCAAATTACTTTAATATGTTACACAATTAAAGTAAATTATTGACATGCATAATTGTTCCGACGATTCGTCTCAGATTTGACTGCTAGTCACTATCCATCTTTGCTTATAATGCTTGTAAATTAAGGCAATATCAAGGCAATACCCACAATATGCATATATGCCAATTAGAGACTGATCAAT